GGTGTATTATTATGTGTGCGGGGGTTGGGGGGTTTGTATTATTTTATGAGTGCAGGGAGGCTTGGAATGTCGGGGGAGTCTATTATTTTATTTGTGCGAGGGGGACTGTATTAGTGTGGGGGGATGTATTATTTTGTCTGTGTGTATAAGGCCCCATTCACACCTATATGTCATAAACTTGAGTTTTCCTGCACAGGGATCCCTAATCTGGCATTTACATGTAGCAACTGTCACCCATTCAAGTTAAAGTGGAACTATGAGGTGAGTGAAAATCACTCACTCATAGTTCGAGCCAACGTGTGACAAACTGTCACGTCGGCTCTATTGATCGGGGAGTGAGTGAACACATACTGTCGCTCGCTCACTTCTCGATCATCTCCCTGCAGAGAGCTGTGACGGTCAGTCACGACTCCCCGCAGGGATTCCCACCCCCTCCCCGCTCCGATCCTCCTGTGCTGACTGGACGGGAGAGGGGGCGGGTACACCTGGCTCTGCCTTTAGATAGGCAGAGTCAGCTATCACTCACACAGCTGGGTGGATCGCGACAGTAATGTCAGGATCCGTCCCGGGTCCGGCGGTCTCAGTATACCACGAGCTGCAGCTCGCTATATACTGAGATTTGGGTCACGGGAGGATGCTAGTATATGTCCTTTCATGAGCCTTAAAAAGGAGAACTATGGGGTTAGGGCTTTTCCCCATAGTTCTCCTTAGGGTAACGGGAGGACACAAACTAGCGTCCTCCCGTCACCCTAAACTCAGTATACCATAAGCTACAGCTCGCAGTATACTGAGACGCCGCAGCTGAAGCGGATCCCGACAATTATGTCTGGATCCGCCCAGCTGCGTGAGTGACAGCTGGCTCTGCCTATCTAGAGGAAGAGCCAGCTATACTCGCCCCGTTCACCGTCCGTTCCGCCAGTCAACGCTGGAGGATCGGAGGGGGGAATCCAGCCACTCCCCTGTTACGGCAGAGAGCTGTGACAGGATCGAGAAGTGAGCGAACGCCGGTATGTGTTCGCTCACTTCCCGATCTACTGAGCCGACCTGTGACAGTCTCATTGTCACAGGTCGGCTAGAACTATGAGGGGAGTGAAAAGCACTCACCTCATGGTTTTCATTTAAGAGAACACCATAGTTCTCTTTTAATGATCGGGTGACAGCTGCTGCATGTAAACGCCTGCACACCGCATGTAATCAATCATATGTGATTGATTCCTAACTGCATGTAATCCCATCACTATCCCTGGATACACGATTGATTGTTTTTGTAACTGCATGTAATCTTTTCACATATGATTTCATGCAGTGTGCAGGCGTTTACATGCAGCAGCTGTCACCCGATTAACTTAAATGGGTGACAGTTGTCGCTTGTAACATGTGCAGACATTAACACTGGTACTGTATATCTGTAGTAGCCCCCACGGGACTAAAAAATTTGTCCAGTGGCCCCCAAGTAAATTGAGTTTGAGACCGCTGGTGTAGCTGCTCCTGCAAGTCAGGTACGTGGTCCGTGACCGCATACCTGACTTGTAAGCTGGCTGCGGGCCACATAGTACCATCTCCTTGGCCGCAATTGGCCCGTGGGTCAGTACTTTGAGGCCACTGCTCTAAATCATGTGGTTCAAACAAGTTCAAATAACTTACTTGCTGTACTAGAAGCATTGTGTTTTTCCTATTGGTCTTTATTATTTTCAAAAAAGTCTGAAAAACACTGGAAAGCAAATTTAGGTTCGTATGATCTTCAGAAAGCAAATTCAGAACCAGGGCACAAATTTCTGGATACAGTAATTCTCCATCTCTGTTTAAATCGACTTGATCATTTAAAATTCTCATTTCTTCAATTTCAGTTTTCATGCCTGTGTCAGAAAAATCAAAAACACTCCATGAATTCTTCAGGGTATAAATAGAATAAAACAGCAAAGACAAAAAATGTTAACCCAACGCCATACCATCTGGAATAACAGTAAAGAAAATATGATCAAAGACACACAAATGAGTAATGCATTGGTAATACAATTCAAATTAAAACACAAAAAGGTATTAATAAGCAAATTGTAGGGTAAATGTGTCATTTATAATAATCATTGCAATAAACCAAGTATTGCACATAGATTTTTTATAATTATTTCAATATATTAATGCACTTTTCCCTGAATCTTGGAAAAATCCATTATCTACTCAAGCAACAAAGTTGCATTTTGGCATTAACATCTGTTTTTTATTCTTTATTTATTTTATCTGAAAAATGTAGATAGATTTGGCAAAGAGATAAAAAAATTATACCATCATCATCAGAGGCATCCTCGGGGTTACTTTCACTGTCTGCTTCATATCCTTCTTCTTCTGCAAGAAGACTCAAGTTAAGACTGTGCCCTTCGTCTCCGTCATCAGAAATCTCTTTGTGTTGTAAATGTAGTTCATTTGATTTATGAACCTAATAAAAAACAGTCATAGGTGCTTATGAATAGGTGAAAAATGTTGACCGTCAGCCCCACTACACCACTTATAAAAAATAAAAAAAAACACAGTTGTCTATCCTAAAAACGCAAGCTAGAAAGATAACATTAAAAACAATTGAGATCTAAAATGTATCATTTCCAGACATGTTTTTTTCCAGCCATTGTACCAACAGCCTAATAAAAGCCCTAAATAAATAAATTTGCAGATCAAATTATGTAGAGCTTTATTGATTTTACTATGACATATTATGTTATGAATTAAAGCAGGACTCCAGTATAAAAAAAATTATAGCACATTAAAAAGATTAAACAAAACCAGCTTCAGTTTAATCCAGAGATTTCCAACATAGTACTTTTTTCTGCCGCTAGATGTCTCAGTCGGATGGTGAGCATCTTTCAGCCATTTCTTTGAACCCAGGGCGATCTGGGCCTGCCCCAGCCTGTTACTGGCCAGTTAAAGGAAAAACAGCATGGTGATGAACTCATCTGTCTGCTTTCTCTAACTCATGCTTGCATGCTTCTCGTCACTACATGAACCGATTGGCTCCTTGTACTGCTTATTCTTAAAATAAGTGTAATGGTGTACTAATGATTACAGAGCTGCATTAAAGAGAAACTTTACCCTGATCTTAAAAATGACAACAGAGGCACCTTTAAAAATGTCTAGTAATGGCAACCTACAAACAGATAACTGCAGGCTTTTAATTTTTACATAACAGGATTTTCGGGTGAATTTCTCCTCATTCTTCTCACAGTGGTCATTTTTACTAAGGGCAGACATATCCATCTCCCTTTACTTTCTGGAACTCTGGCACATGTAACTAGGACGTATGCACTTTATTTTATACTCAATCGCATACTCAAGATGAGGTAAAACCAGCGATTTATAAAAAGTAGAAGTAATACTCTTTTATCCCTTGCTACAATCCCTCTTTTAATGCACAACAGTATCCGGTTTGCTTTGCTGAGCGCTGCTTGGCATTGCATACTTTTGCCAAATCTATGAGCACTCCCAGGTCCTTTTCCATGTTCGAATTCCCTAATGTAGAACCCCCAACTTATAGTTTGCGCACACATTCTTTACTCCCATGTGCATAACCTTACATTTTTCAATAAAAAAAAAATAAAAAAAAAATCACAATTGCCATCTTAGCCAAAATAATTTTTTTTTAATTTAATCTATGCTTTGCAGTCGTGTGTGGGCACTGACCGGTTGACCTGCTTCTGGACAAGAGTGACTAGCAAACCTAAGGTCAATTTTTGACCACTATAAAATGGAGATATACTGTATGATCCTAAATAATGGTCAGCAAAATCTTTTTTGCGAAGTATTGTTTAAAATACATGCCAGTTATGAACATACACTTTTAAAGCCATACCTTTTCTTTTTGCTCCTCAGGAGGGGCAGAGACAAAAGAAAAATTTGAAACAGCAATGCGAAGAAGACAATCAAGAATGTGTGGAGCAAGATTAGTTTGAAGAACTCTGGACTTTGCAAGAAGGTCCTGAACTTCAGCCATTATGTGTTGTACAGTGAGATTCTAAAAAGAGAATTTTCCAAATACAAAACAAATTACATATATAAATAAACAAACAAAACAGATCTGCGCCAGTGACGGTACAAAAAAAAGGTGAAAAAGGGCTACTAAGCACTACAATTATATCTGATATAATACAAAATATTTATACAATAATGTGTCAAGCTCAAAAAAAATCAATAAAATATAAAAACAGTGAAAAATACAACGATTATAGGCTGAGCTCAAACCACATAACATACACAGTGAATTAAAAAATCAAACAAGGCGGTGCAGCTAACAAATCAAAACAATGCTATGCAATGTGTACAAACATGAGCAGTCCTCCGAAGCAGACTTTATAGTGTGCAGAACAGGGAACTCAAGTGGTTGACCACTTAAAATAGGAGTTAAAAGACAAATATACTATGAGATTGCAGCCCGATTTAGAAATCACACCTTCTGCGGCTCAGAAGTAATACCGTACCCATAAAAATGCCCCCAGCCATTCTTAATTGTATGAATTAAATATCTCTCAATAGAAGAGATCTCTGCCCAATGCTGTCAAATCTATGTGTAAACTAGATTAGCTGACCATCTAGGATTACAGGTGCAGGGGCCACAAATACAAATCTCTTCCCTGAAAAAGGAAACTGTTAAGGGAACTGTATTTTCTCTGACTAACAAAATATCATCCAAATATATTAGTCTACATCCCAAGAGAACATCCTTATTTCTTGTTTCGGACCCACAAATTTCTTAATGAACAATCTACAAGAAGCTTTATCTTATAAAACACCTGAATACGATCAGTAGCACCAATTTTATCAAAATGTATCACATTTTTTTACTACTTGGTTTTGATCTACCAAATCTTGGAAGAAAGGCAGAGTTTGTGATCAATTTAGAGACAAAGTATAACCCAGAAGGTTATGAGAAGGAATAAAAGGAACCAAAAAGCTATTCACTGAACCGCTGCATAGCACAATAGAGCCCTCTTACAACAGAAAGTATCTACATGTCTCATTCCAACACATCGCAAAAATAGGGAGAATTATTCCCTATTTCAGGATCAGGGATGTGGACATTTTTTTAAAAACTACTTGTCCAAAGACTAAAGCGGGGGCCGATCTACTTGTTTCTCATGACAATCTACTTGTCCGGATACAAAAACTAGTTTTAACCAAAACCATATTTAGCAGTGCCAAGAAGAGTTTCTCATTGGTCAGCGCCGTCAGGTGACCGTGTTGACCAACGAGTGCGCGCAAATTGCGAGCGAAATTTAGAATACATGGAGCAGGTACAGATAGTACACCCGTACTGGTGGACGGGAAGGACCGTTCGCTGACAGCTAAGTATATCAGGAGATTTGTGCGGGTAATTCAATTATCCCAAATTACTTGGGAAAGTGAAATTTACCCTTTAGGGTTGGTGCAGACTTTGGCAATCTCAGGACGTGCGATCGTGTGCGGTTGCATCTGCATGTATGGGTTTACATCTGCGTGGCAATCGCTGAAAAAAGGTTTTCACAACACACACCGAGCAGTGTTTTCAACCGCGATCGTGTGGGACCGCCCGGCGGTATTACTGCGGAAACCGCGCGATCTGCCTGGCGTGACTGGGGTGCCATTCGAAAATACACAGTGAATTAGGATGATCGGCGGTGGTGTGCGATTATTGCACCACTGCCGATCGTGCTGGCAGTGCCATTATTTTCGAATGGCACCCCAGTCACGCCAGGCAGATCGCGCGGTTTCCGCAGTAATACCGCCGGGCGGTCCCACACGATCGCGGTTGAAAACACTGCGTGTTTATTCGCATGCAGATGGTGGGGGCAGCGGGGTTGGTTTTCATTTTTCCAGTTTTTAGTTACTTTGTAAAATGTTTTAATTTTCATTTATTTTATTATTTTTACTTTATCACCCTTTTATTTTTTACATTTTTGTTATTTTTTTTCACTTAACTTTATTGCTAACAAGCCCGTGTGACAGCATTTGGAGGTGACAGGTACTCTTAATTGAACGAGCAGCAGCTGAGGGAGGTGACAGAGCCTGTCACATCAGCAGGGCTAAAACACTGAAAAAAAACACATGCCCAGAACTACATGTCCCAGGCGTCGGGCGATACGAATTCCACACCACTGATGATAGTAGACAAGGTTATGCAAATCAATCCTTTTTGCTCCAATTGCTAAGTGCACATCCAGAACTGTTTGGCTTATAGCACTGATTCAGCCAAATATTATAGAGGCATTAATTACAAGTTGCATATAACAGTTTCAGGTGTTCTGCCCAGCAAAAAATGCAGTGATATGGAAACCATGGCTATGATGAAGTAGGGCCTGGGATCCAACGAGAAAATATAACCCAGAAGGTTATGGTAAGAGTGGATAAAAAGAAGCAAAAATCCCGTAAATTAAGCAATACATAGAACAGTAAAGCCTTAAAACAGAAGGTATTCACATGCTTCATTCCATCTCATATAGATCGTAGACAACTGAATTTCTTTATTATCCAATTTACTGTTATAGCTGTATAAATGGTTTTACAATTATACTGCTTGTCCTCAGGTACTCTCTTTTTAATCATTTGCTCTCTTTTTGGGGTTGGCCATGCACCCTAGCAGGTTACAGTTTTACTTGTTCTTAGCACCTTTGCTGTTCTGTTACTACAAAATCTTAATTCCCCAATTACTTTGACATTCTGAATCATATTTAATGCAGTAAACTCACAAAGAAATGTAAATATAAAAACATTACCTGAGAGGCTTCCAAATCTGCTTTGAGCTGATTGTTTCGTGCACTGTGTAGACAAATAGCTAAAAGTGCTTCAAATAATTTCACAGCTTCAATTGGCCACTCTTTCACTTCAGTTGTAAGAGGAGAACTAACAAAAAAGGAACTCTTTGATGAAGAGCATGTAGGATCAGGTTGAAGGTAACGCAAGTATAGTTCTTTGGATAAAGCATCGTGACATGTGCATTCTGTTTCGCAGTGGGTTTCTATGCCAAGACTTTCTTCTGCAGCTGGATTTGATTTTTCATGAGGAAAAGGAAGACTTTTACTTCTTAAATCTTCAAAACAGCTAGAAAATGTATTTATTATGAGAAGAATTAGTTTGTAACACAAATCAAAGCCACCAATTTTGTGGAATTGCTTCTGGAGCATCGCGTTTGAAAGGTAAAGCCAACAACACATAGACCAAATATCTGCAGCTCTGTGTATTTGCTCTGTGGATGGTAAAACCAAGCTTTCAACATTAAGTTTTGGTAAAATGCTTCTTGGTTCACTTGCAGTACTGTCATAGCCAGAAGTGTCCTCAGACTCATTGACAGATTCAAACTCAGACTCTGCATCTTTGCTCACACTTAAAAAAGCCAAACAAAGAAAAAGGTTTATGATACTCGTTTTTTGATGGATCACCTTTTTTCTTTTTGGACAGATTTCTTTCAAATCAGTATAGCTTTTGGTTTGATCATGAAGCCATTGTTGAGGCCTTGAAAACTGAACATGAAATTCCAAAGGAAGTGGGTTTGAATCGCCAGTGCCATTTTCCAAATTAGGTGTTAGACAGTCGATCTGTTGCTCTCCAAAGCAAACAAGAGTCTCGAATGCTTTCAAACAGAAGTATCTCAAAGAATCCAAATAATTAAGTTCTGTAATTTGATTTAGTCCATTTGAATTTAAGAATACTTCTCGTATTACACTGCATCACAAGAAAAACAAAACAAAAAAAAGATACCTTAAAACCAAAATTGAGTAACTTATTTACAAGACTTTTTGTTAAGTATTACAAGGTAAAAGCAAACTTCAGCAAACATTTTTTCCTCAAGTTTTTATGGTAATTTACTTTTAAGGTTTTACAAGAATACAACAGCATTTACATTTAGCTTTAATAAAAATAAATTTAAAAAAAGAGAAAAGCGTTTTCAAATAAATTTAAAAAAAAAGAAAGAAAGAAACAAGAGAAAGGAAAGAAGAGAAAAAAAAAAAAAAGGGCGGGAGGGGGGAGGGAAGGTGGAAGAAACAATACACACATATATGTGCGCATCGTTTCTCATGGTCTCTGGGAAAACAAAGCACTAGATTATAAAACAGCGCCACTGGGGCCCTCCAACAGTTGCCAGGGGAACCACACCCGCTCAAATTTAAAGATGGTGTTATGTAATTGAGCCGTTAAAAATTCCAAATTATGAATATCATGGATCCTTTGCAGGACGGAGGAATTGGTTGCCGCCATTACAAAGCTATGAAGCATCTGACTGTGGTGAGGACATGATTAATAAGTTTAGTAGTGGTCTTTGAAGAATGTAAAATAGGGAGGCCCAAGAGCAGATGTACTGGGTCCTCTGGTATAGTTTTACCAACTAACTTTTGAAGTAGGGAAATTGCGTACTTCAAAAAGGGGCGTATCTTTGGACAATCCCAAAATATATGCAATAAGCTACCCTTTGAAGTCAGTCATCACCAGCATTCCGATGGCAGTGAAGGATTCATATAATGCAGCAAGTCCGGGGTGCGATACCAGTGGAAGAGAATCTTATATTGATTTTCTTGATAAGGGTGCAAATAGAGGTCTTACTAGCATTGGTCCAGATCTCCTCCCACTTCTCCATGTCCAATGTCCGACCCAGAGCCCTCTCCCATTTAAGCATGTATTTATTTTTAGGAAAGGGGAGATCGGTAATTGAATTAAGCAATTTGTAAATGTCGGATGTCAAATGTTTGCGGGTAGGGCCGTCTAAGCACATTTTTTCAAACGAGGTTAATGGCGAAAAAGTAAGAGAAGTAGAGACTGTATATGCAAAGTGTTTAATCTGGAGAAATGTAAAAAAAGATCTAGCTTGTAAATTAAACCTAGTTTGCAAAGTAGAGAAAGGCATTAAAGTCCCATCTATTTTATAAATAATGTCTCTAAAGCGAAAAAGAAAGTGATCCGTCCAGGGACGAGCAGTATGGTGGTTAAGCGTTACAGGTAGGAGAGGTGTGTATAAAAATGATCTCATAGAGGTGGTGGGCGTAGTGAGGTTAAATTTAGTCCCTGTATGGCGCCAAATGACTTTAGTATGTTGTGTGTAGATTAGGTAAGGAGATAAACGGTTTAGTCAGGGTCAATAAAATATCGTCTGCAAACAGGGAAAGTTTAAAAGCATGTCCTTTGACTTGAATGCCAGTGATGTCTGGAGAATTCCTAATATGAGTCGCCAATGATTCAATGCAGAGGACAAAAAGAAGAGGGGATAAAGGGCAACCCTGTCTAGTACCGTTGTGTATATGAAAGAAGGAGGGTAATGAGAAAGGGAGTTTAATAGCGGCAGAAGGAGTGGAATAAAGACTATTAACAGCATGCAGAAAGGGTCTCCGTATCCCAATATGTTCTAGAGTGGAAAGTAAAAATGGCCAACTAAAAGGCGATCGAAGGCCTTCTCAGCATCGAGGCTCAAAATCAAAGATTCCGTGCCTGAGAAGTTCAGAATGTCAATAAGACCTATCGTACGCCTTGTATTATCTCCAGCTTGTCTGACTGAGACAAAGCCAACTTGGTCCTTGTGAATCAAAGGGAGGAAGGAATGGGCCTAATCGGAGTGCCAGCAGTTTAGAACAAAATTTTAAATCTGAGTTTAAAAGGGCAATAGGTCGATAACTGGAACATTCCAGATGGTCTTTACCGGATTTAGGGATTACTGTAATATATGAAGCAAGCATAGATGTAGGGATAGGTGATGCTGCAAAAAAGTAATTATATAGTGTCAATAGATATGGATTAAGGATGGAGCCAAAGGTTTTATAGTACAGGTAAGGAAGGCCCTTCCTCAAGTTTTTATTGCGGTTTGTGACCCTATTACAGAGATATCATTTCACTTCCTGTCACTGGGACAGGAAGGCACAAACAGTATAATAACCTAACAGAAGCTCTGACCCCTTTCCCATTTCCCTAAAAAACAAAAAGGTTTTTGCTGCAGTGTACAGGACGTTAGGGGATATCTACCCAATGGTGACGCACCCTGCAAATAAAAACCTGCATTGTGGAATGGGGAAGGTGAAGAGTGTTCTCTTCCCAGGGGTTTTGGGAGATAGGATTTTACAAAAGAGGGACAATTTAGCACCCTCTTTGAGTCTGTTACCCAGCACTGATTATTTTTAGTATTTTCTTGAAACATTTTAACTTTAAAACTGAGCTCCAATCCAAAAACTAAATAACTGCAGGATACGGAACTGCAGGACTGCAGGAACTGCAGGAAGCCAGCTACAGTTTAGGCTGCAGCCCGTTTGACAGATAAGGTTTTTTTAAACAAGGCTTAATAGACAAAGTTCATGGTCCGTTGCCCTCGCAAAGAAAATGCCCTCTGTTCCTCTCCCTTCACCATCACAAAGGGAAATGTCATTCAGTCTCAGGATGCACTGCGTGGTACTCCTTTCCAGAGAAAAGCCTCAAAGAGTGCAAATAAACGATACTATGCTTGTGGCAACTTGGACTTACACAATTATATTGTCACTCTAAGTCATTAGAAGGCCCAGGGTGTACAACAAAGCCCTTTTCTGGTATGTAAAGGCCTCACCTGCAGAACACAGACTCTTGCCCACACTGTCCAGGTATCCTGTACAGCCCAGGTCAGCATGCAATTTTTCTGGTGTTTATGGAGTTTGTCCACTCAATTCCTACATCACCACTTGGACCGGATACAATCCAGCACAAAGGCCACCAAGAATATATGGATTTCATCCTCTTGTACCCAGCCACTCCACACCAAGAAAACATCACCTTCAGCATGTAAGGATTGATGAGGTAGCAATGGAAGGTTTCAAGGACAGTGGAGCCTTTAACAATTGTGGACCCCCGTGTTGTTAGACATGAGGATATGCAGAGAGGCCCAGGAAACATAATTAAACCTGCTGGTGTCATAAAGAAGAGTATGCCCATTGCAAAAGTGTATTTGGGCTATGGCCATGTAGAAAAGCTGTGCTGGGTAGGTGTGATGGGAGATTTACCAGCAGATGTTCTTATGGAAAATGACATGTGGACCTTGCATATTAGGATTTATGTGATCATTTTAATTACCTTTAAATAAACCAGGGAAGCACCATGTGCAGCCAACTTCTGGGTTCATTTGTTTGGGAGGGTAAGGGGTTGTCACGGAGCATGTGTTTTATAAATCATTTTAAAAATTGTAAAAGGTGAAGGTGAAATGCCAAAAATACCTTGGGTAGAAAGGAACTTTTGGGCCTCGACACCACCTTGCCCTTTTGAAAAACCAAAAAAGGTGCTTTGCAGGACAAGGCCCCCAGCTCAGACGCTCACCTCAGAGAGGCATGTCTGCAATAAAACACCCGTGAGTGGAAGTAGCAAAGGGAATGTTCCGAATGGGTTCAAAATGGTGGTTTTTGATGCTCCAAGAACCAGATTTAGATCCCAAGGAGTCACAGGGGAACGCACCAGGAAAACAAGTTGTTAGGAGACACCCTGAACAAAAAGGTCCTAAAATCAAAGAATAAGAAAGCCAAGGGTCTCTGAAATAAGATGGCAAGAGCAGAGACCTGATCCTTAATAGTGCTGAGGGCCAAATGCTGGTCCAGATCCCAACTGTAGGATGGAGAGGATTCTTCCACATTCGATGACAGACAGAAGTAGACTTCCTAGCTTTTAACATTATGGAAATCACGGATTAAAAGATGCTCATCTCTCACGACCTGGGCTTCAACAGCCGTGCCGTTACTGACAGCAACTGTGAAGCAGTATGGTAAATCAATCCTTGAAACAGAAGATCCAGGCTGGAGGAGTCCATATGACATCCGCCAGAAGACTCATCAGGCCCACCTCTGGGCTGATTCGGAGCTAGAAGTACCACAGGAATTCCCTACATCTTGAGGAAGAAGTTTCATGAAAAGAAAAAAAATCGATCAGTGCAATGATCTCATAACAAAAATGCCACAGGCAACGGGTGACATGTTTTGTGAGGGCATCTGTTATGTGCAATAGTACATATCTTTCAAAACAGATGTCCATATTCCATGTTCGTGCAAAATCCATTTTATTGATAGTTGTCATTCAAACGACAAGCGCGTTTAGAGCCGTGCAGGGTCCCCTTCCATCAGGCTCAGAAATGTGCTTGTCGTTTGAATGACAACTATCAATAAAATGTATGTGCACTAAGGCTAGCAGTGCCAAGGGAGCACGGAGCCAGCTTCCTTTCCAATCAGGAAGCTGGGCAGTGGGTTATGACCAGCTTCCTGATTGGCTAGGAAGTCGCCTTAATGTGTTCCTAAGCAGTCTGGCTTCCTAACCAATCAGGAAGCCGGGTGGCATGTAATTTAGCAGCCAACTTTGGGCGCACGCCAGTACAGGCTCCTGGAGGGGGGGCAATAAGAAGAGAGCTGGGATATGACGTGATGTCATCTCTCTGCCTCTCCCAAAGCTGTACGCTGCTGTCGAGAGGTAAGACAGGGCCATCTACAAAAAAAATAAAAAATTGTAATAACCACCCGCCCGTCCATGGCCGTTGCTGAACGGCCGGACGGGAGCCTTATAGGAGCGGGAGGGTGTCTTAAGACATCCTGCCCCTCCCCCCACTTGTGCGCGGCGTCCAGTGTGCACACGAGTGGGCAAACAGCGATGGCTGTTTACATTCAAGCGATATGGTCCCAAGATCCGCTGTGCCCTGTGGGCCTGGGACCGGCACGGCGATGCTGTCAGTGGAGATCAAAAGGGAGTTCAGTACACAATCTCCCTTTGATGTCCTCTCTGGTCCCCAAATGCAGGAAGTGATGTGTATTAGATCACTTCCTGCATTCAATATCACGCTCCAGTTACAGAAGCAGGGAAGAAGCTTCTCTAGGGGTGCCTAGGTGACATTAGGGGTCTTAGAGACCCCTGATATCTCTATAAAGAGGACCGGCCATGTGAATTGGCTATCACATAGGGGATTTCTTAACCCCCTACGTGATAGCAATAAAGTTAAGTGTAAAAAAAGTTTTAAAAATAAGCTAAAAAAAAGTCAAATTAGAACAAAAAAAGTAAAATAAAAAACACATTTTTTTTAACGTCCCCCGAGGACCCCACACACACAAACATGCGGCGGGTGCGCCAAAGTGCAAAAACGACGATTCCACCTATTGTGCCGCACGTTACATTTCGCCGCAAACGTGGTAGTGAGAGCAATAATTATATGGCCATTAATTACCGATAACACTAAACCGATGAGTGGTAAAAGCTTTTAAAGCGTTGCCTATGGCCAATTTTGGGTGTGCTCGTTTTCTGCGATTTCGTGGGCGCAATTTTAAAGCTCAACATGTTTGTGTCTGTTTACCCGACGTGACGTCTTATATTTTACCAAAAAATTGGGGTGATTTCACAATATTTCATAGGGAAACAGGTTTTTTCCAAAATGTAGGGTACTTTTTTTGTCATATAGTAAAAAATAAAAACCCCAGTGGTGACTAAATTCCACCAAAAGAAAGCTCTATTTGTCCCCAAAAATTGTATAAAATCCATTTCAGTACAGCGTTGCATGACTGAATAAACATCAAAGTACTGCAGAGCTAAATACTGAAAAATGGCCTGGCCAGGAAGGGGGTTGAAGTGAAGTGGTTAAAGAAGTTGCTAAAAGTATTTATATATACCCTCCAAGGCAGTGGTTCTCAACCTTTCTAGTGCCGCGACCCTTTGATAACATTGCCCAAGTTGGGGCGACCCCTAACAGTAAAATTATTTTCATTGCTCCTTCATCACTGTAATTTTGCTACTGCTAGATATTCTAGCTATGCATTCCTATGCTGTTTTTTTTTCTGACGGGAGAAAGTGTTTCTTTCCCGGGCGGCCAGGAGCCGCTATCTAAAAGCGGGAGACTCCCGGAGCGTCCAGGAGAGTTAGGATGTCTTTAGGCGACCCCTGGCAAATCGTTAATCGACCCCCGACGGGGTCGCGACCCATGGGTTGAGAACCGCTGCTCTAAGGGCTTATTTCACACCAACCTCGGTGCATCCAAGAGTGGCAGAGAGTGTCCAAGAGTGGCAAGAGTTTTTCAAATGATGATCCGGCCCCCGACAATGTGAGGGACAGTGAACTGGCCCCCTCTTTAAAAAGTTTGGGGACCCCAGCTCTAAACCATTTGCAGATATGTAATACATATAAAGCACATCAAGCATCTTATATATGTTTGCACATCAGAACTGTGCTTATGTGTACATTACATGTGCAAGTGTATCGTGGGTTTATGGGTTTGTTTTTATTTTATATACATTTTATATTATGCAACTTAAATGCATGCAGGCAGGCTGACAAGTCCCCTGGGTGGCTGACAAGTCCCCTGGGTGGCATGATAAACAAGGGAGGGGAGGGGCAGGTCAACTGCATTTCCAGAGGTCTAAATCAGCGTCTCTCAATCTTTTTGCAGTCAAGGAACCCTTTAAAAGTAAGCAAAATTTCAAGGCTCCCCAGTCTAAAATGTAAAAACTGTAAATGTAAAAAAACAAATGGGTGGTTCCTCCAAAATTAGGACCAGACCCTGAGGAGGCCAGATGTATTCTACAGATATACCGATTGCTATATACAGTAGAATTAAGTTGATTGACAGCCGCGGCCAAAAGTTTTGACAAATAATCATTTTCAAAGTCTGCTGCTTCAGTTTGTATGATGGCAATTTGCATATACTCCAGAATGTTATTCAATTAATTTGAAAAGTGCCATGAAAATGAACTTAATCCCCCAAAAAATAATTTCCACTGCTTTTTAGCCCTGCCACAAAATGGCCAGCTGACATGTCAGTGATTCTCTCGTTAAAAGGTGGCCATACACCTTACAACCATCGCACGACTTTCGTTGTGCGATGGTTGTAAGGTGATTAAAAGTTCGCACGACCTGCCCATCTTCGACAGGCAAATCGTACTTACGATAATCGCAAGTCCTCCCCATGAGCGGGCAGTGTGCGCTTGCGCACCTCGGCTGTGCGTCTTTCGATCGCACTACCAACCCGCCTAAAATCGTGCGATTTTCGGCGGGTTTTCTAGCGTGCTCGTAATACAAAAATCGAGCGAACTTACAGTAAATGCGGTTGCACGCTGCCCGTACACCTTGCGATCGTACGATCAACCGCGATTATCGTACAGTGTATGGGCAACTTTACATAGGTGTACGTGTTGACAATGACAAGGCTGGAGACCACTGTCATGCTGATTGAGTTAGAATAACAGACTGGAAGCTTTAAAAAGGAGGGTGGTCCTTGAAATCATTGTTCTTCCTCTGTTAACCATGGTTATCTGCAAGGAAACAGGTGCAATCATCATTGCTTTTGCACAAAAAGGAATTCACAGGCAAGGATATTGCTGCTACTAAGATTGCACCTAAATCAACAGATCATCAAAAACTTTAAGGAGAGAGCTTCAATTGCTGTGGATTCATGGCGCCCAAGAAAGCCCAGCAAGAGCCAGGACTGTCTCCTAAAAGTTGATTCAGCTGCGGGATCAGGGCACCACCAGTGCAGAGCTTGCTCAAGAATGGCAGCAGGCTGGTGTGAGTGCATCTGCACGCACAGTGAGGCAAAGACTTTTGGAGGATGGCCTGGTATCAAGAAGGGCAGCAAAGAAGCCACTTCTCTCCAGGAAAAACATCTGGGACAAACTGATATTCTACAAAAGGTATGGGGATTGGACTGCTGAGGACTGGGGTAAAGTCATTTTCTCTGATGAATCCTTTTTCCGATTGTTTGGGGCATCTGGAAAATACCTTGTCCGGCGAAGAAAAGGTGAGCGCTACCATCAGTCCCATGTCATGCCAACAGTAAAGCATTCTGAGACCATTCATGTGTGGGGGTGCTTCTCAACCAAGGGAGTGTGCTCACTCACAAATTTTGCCTAAGAACACAGCCATGAATAAAGAATGGCACAAAAACATCCTCCAAGATCAACTTCTCCCAACCATTCAAGAACAGTTTGGTGACAAATGATGCCTTTTCCAGCATGATGGAGCACCTTGCCATAAGGCAAAAGTGATAACCAAGTGGCTTGGGGAACAAAATATCGAAATTTTGGGTCCATGGCCAGGAAACTCACCAGACCTTAATCCCATTGAGAACGTGTGGTCAGGCATGCTTTGCAAATACTTTTCTACCCACCGATACCATTGATGGCCCCTTTGCTCCCACTGACACCATTGGATGGGGCATCATTCCTTCTACTTACCAACACAGGGGCATGAATGATTCCCACTGACCAGCAACATGAACATGTTTTTTTTCACACCAACCACTAACAAAAGTTATTTTTTACTTTAACAAAACTGGGGCATTTCTCACACCAACACAAGGGCATTTCTTACTCCCACCAACGCTAATGTCCTCTAATGTGTGAGCATTTTTTTTATTCCTACAATCCCCCCCCCCCCCCTCCCTCAACCCCCCACAGACACAATTTTTGCTGGCTGAGGTTTTGTCACACTATGAGACAGCAGTGACATGAATTTCCACTTTCTTGCCTGTCTGGCATGATCATAATGATAAATAGCTCATCCATCCATTACAATTGGGTAACCATGGCAGGCGACAGATGGGGTCTGGACATAGAAAATAATGGTCTTAGCTTGGTGCACATACCAACAGAAAGATATTCTGCTGACCAGGCCTCCATTTGGCACAGGCCTCAAACTGTAACAATGGGAGGAAGTAGTGGTACTAAATGTATACATATATTTCTATATATGTATACATATATTTCTGTTTTCATCTCCAAGAACAAAATATCACACAAAAATATGCATAAAAGATATTAATACTGCTAAAAGTTACAAGTACACCCATCAAAAAAAAAAAATTTAACCTAAATACATGCACCATTAGGTGTCTGCTCAAACTTCAAGCCCTCTTCACTTGGTCCATGGGACTCTTGAAATCTTTGGTATTCTCATCTACTAAATTTCACCCTTCCTTTTAGTGTTTAAAGCCAGCATGAATACCTTCCTCTTGGCCTGTCAGTATGATGGGCAGCCCCAGTGGCCAACTGGAATACATGGATGGGGAGAAGGCCAGATGTGCAGTTTTCAAAAGAGATTCACATACGCTTATGCTTTTTCATTATATACTCTTAATCTTTTGGTCCTTTAGTGTACTGGAAAATAAGAACTATTTTTGTGTTCGACTCTAAAACATGTAAGAATTGAAATGCAGTGGATAATGTGTAAAGTGGAGGAAAATGCTTTATACAGGGATGAAAAAATGACCAAATACAAACCTGGACTTCAGCAACTCAGGAAGTATTTTTAAGTAAGTCTTAAGTAACTCTTCAGATAATCCTGTTTTCTGACAGCTGCTTGTATGGCTGTACGGTGCTGCAACATCCATCTGTTGAGAATGATGAGCCATCTCTACCCCTCTTTGTAAAACTGCATTGAAGATAAGTGTGTACAATTTCCATTGAATGACTGCATTTCCTTTCTGCATGATAGCGCAAATATGGCTGGCAATAGGTAAACTCAGTTGTAGATCATTACTAAAGACAAGTTCTTGGTAAGCTTCCAAAGAATCCCATTTCCACATCATGTCTTCTGAGCCACTACTTGGTAGAACACCCTGAAATCTATAAGACATACTGCACAAACTTGTAGTTAAAGCAGGGTCAGATTTTCCGTGAATTGTGTCCTGCAATTCAGCTAAATGTTCACCATCCATTGCACATATGTTACAAGATGCTTGTTTCACAGTATTTGAACTTTCACCTCCACCTAGCTGATCCAAAATCAAGTTTGCAAGTAGACTCAGCGTATGATGTTGCACATTTGTTAATCTTTGCATCTTAAATGCATAAAGAAGAGGTAAAATAACCGATGCAGGATCCATACAACAACAAATGCCAACATTCTGTATACCTGAAATAATCTGTAGACATGTAGGGGTCAGCGGTGCCTGTTGTAGTAAATGTAAACATTGGTGGGCACAAACAGCAATGCAACAACTCCTCTCAGGAAATCGAAGCTCCCCATATATATTTTCTTCAGAAGGATCTTTAAGAACACGACTTTTGAAAATAGAAACTGGAAAACCAGAAAGATCTCTGTGGTGGTGCATGAAGTGTGAGAATTCACATCTCCTATGTCTTTTCCTTGTACACATTGACTGATGGAGTTGCTCAGATTTAACTTTTTTGATAACACTGATTATTTTGATGACATTACTAATAAGTAATGATACATGTTCATAAGCCTCGGAATATAGGCTTTCACACTGAAGACATATTGACTCCATATAAAGGGTGGCTTTCTCAAAGAGATCAAATCCACTGTACAGTACAAAGTCATGCAAAAGTTCTATAGACTGACTAAAATATAAGGGATTTGGTGCTGCACACTTAAGACATAACAACATGATTTGAAAAATGACTTCAAGAAGCTCTGATATCAAAAGAGCTTGATGCTGACATCGAGGCATCTCTAGTTTTTCAGCAGCATTCTTGGCTGACTGTTGGTGGTATAAATCAGGCATGCTACTAAGGTAAACTTTATATTTTAAGGCTGTTTTTAACAAATCAGTAAGGCTTTTCCTTAAATTGTCTGGCATACCATCCCTGCTATTAATGTCTGCACACAGTAGTGCTAACACTGTACGCAACAGCATTCTCTGCACTAATGCCACTGGTTCCTCATTCCATCCAGATGCCAATGTTCCTTTGACGGATGCATAGTAATCACCAAAGCCTAAAAGGGATTCTGTTAATGCTGGGATGACAGTAACTGAGAGTGAAGTGCTATGATTCAGTTTTATATCATACTTAGAAACTTTTTCAAGCAAAGATAGCAATATTTGACAAAGATCAAATGGAGAAGTGTTTTTATCTGACACAGAAAAGGGTCTTTCTAAAAGATTACTCTCCGAGAAGCTAGTATCTGGTTTTGGTTTACATTCCACTTTCTGATGCGTGAAACCTTTGTCAAATGCAGTGGACTCCCAAGAGTGGGATGTAACAGGATGTGGTGTATGCCTTTGTTTAGTCGCAGATAAAGACTTCTCATCCAGGACTCCTTCAGAATCTGATGTAGACAAAGCCTTTTTATCATCCTTCGATGCAGTTTTGGAATGGCGTCTTGATTTATGGTGTCGCAAGCTAACATTTACAAGACTTGAGAAGTCCGAGGAGGAGGAAATCCCCTCAGTATTTACTTTCCTCTGAGGTTTTTTCAGAGTTGAACAGCTCTCTTTGGTAGCAAACGGTTCGGTATCAAGTGATGGTAAAACAAACTCTAAAAAAAAAAAAAAGAAGAAATTTAAATTAAATTTTAAAAAAAGTTTTAAAATGGTAGGGAAGGTATAAGGCTATTTTCTGCAGGGGGGTTGTAAGGTGGAGTGTACACACACCACCAAATGAGTGCGGTCTATTTTTTTAAAGCTAAAGAAACAGTGTGAATGTAAGCAAACCCAAATTTTTGGTATTTTTTTCCTTTATATATGAAAAATTGGTTATTAACACTTTCGCTGACACCGACGTAAGGCATACGGCGGAAGTGTTCCCGGCTGGCCAGCTCAATATGCCTTACGTCGGTGGCATTTACAGTTCTGCTATAAGCTCATGGTCGATTTAAGCTTATAGCAGAACTGTTCAGCAGACTGTCCCCTTCAAAATAATAGCTGTCATCAGCGGCTCACAAGCCGCTGATGACCGCTATTACCGAAAATACCCTGGAGCCACCTCAGGGAGGGATGAGAGACTCCATGGATCCCAGCTGCTTGTAGGATCTGTGGCAGCGGGGATCCGTAAAAAAATCACCGGCGGGTGGGGCGGTGGAGCAAGCGGCGGCTGGCTGCAATAAAATTCTGTCAGTGCATCTAAAAACTCAAAAACTCTTTTTTCAGATGAGGAACTGCCATTATCCTTTTTGACCTTGTTTTTAATCACCCTAAGGATTGTCCCAGGTTTTGTACGCTGAATATGAGTAAATATAAGCACAGGATGTTTTATCTTTCATACTGAAACAGACATTTACCGTCAGCAAAAGTACTGATTGATAATTGGGCCAAAGCTAGGAGTTTAGGACTGAAACAACTAATTGATGTAATGAGAATAGTTGTCCAAGATTCTTAATATCAATTAGTAGATTCGATTGGTTGAATCAGCTGCCGCTTTACTCCCGTTCTACTCCCCGCTGGTGCCGGCTGCAGCGGTCTGTGTGCCTTTTAATCCCCGCCTGTGTCTGAAGAGGCAGCGGGGAAACAGGCCACTGCAGCCAGCACCAGCGGGGAGGAGAGATCAGCTGTGCCTCTTCATTCCCATTTAGCTCGTCCACTGCTGCCCTCGTTCCTTCTCTGTATTCCCCTGGCTCGTCCACTGCTGCTCCCTGCCTTCTCTGCATTCCCCTGGCTCGTCCACTGCTGCTCCCTGCCTTCTCTGCATTCCCCAGGCTCATGCGCTGCCACCCCCGTGTGCCTCCTCTGTATTTCCCGGTTCCTCAGCTGCTCCCCCATGCCCCCTCTTCTGCCAGCAGTAGTTTGCCTGCGTCAAGTACCCATCCAGCGGCTGGTAAAAATGGCCACCCTGATATTGGCCATTTTAAATTGCAATAGCAGGCTGGCTATTGCACCCGCCGACTGCCTGCTGTCAATCAGCGGAGGAGGACTTGAAGAAGAAACTCCCTCCTCTGCTGATTGACAGAAGACAAAAGGGCAGATGCAATAGCCCGCCTGCTATTGCAATTTAAAATAGCCAATAGCAGACTGGCTATTGCTCCCAGCCACTGCCTGCTGTGTTTACAGCTGTCATTTACCAGTTAAAACTATTGGAGTGGAAAGGTGACACTAGGTGTCTAATAGACCCCCTAATGTCACCTTAAAGTGAACCTGTCATCTTCATGTGCTATCATATAGGGGGCTTGTGAGTTCACGGTCTCCTCCCTGCAATATTGTCCACTTACATGGGTAACTGAAAGGATAAGTGTACTTTTCCATAATAAAAATATACTGAACTCATTCCATACTAAACAGCCGGCCGACTCCCTGAACGCAGGGAGTCGGCCGGCTTGCATTCCAGTTCGTTCTAGCGGCACCGGCGTCCTGACGCTGTGCTCGTGTGGCCAACGTTGCACACGGGAAGAGGTGTCCTGCCCCTTTCCGTCTGCGGCGTCTAACACATTCAGCCAGCAGCCACACGAGCACCGCGGGAGGATATGCTTAGCTAGCTCCTTTTGCGCCCGAACGTTGGGAGGGCTTTGGGGAAATATTAGGAGTCTACACAGCCCCCTGATATTTCCCTTTTAAAATAGAAAAGGAAATAGGAGGACACAAAGTCCTCAATCTCTTTTTCTGCAGCCTCTGTTCTAAATGAATGGAAAGTACAGAGGCTTCCCATTTATTCAGAAACTATTAGGTGATGTAAAACACTTCCTGTTCATTCACAACTAGGGACACATAGTACCATGTGTCCCCAGTTATTTAAATTATTGTCAAGAGATGTCACCAGCACTTCAATTTGACAAACAGGTCAAAGTTCAGCGAATCTTCGTTTTTATTTTTGAAGTCACTCAAAGTAGAATCTTTCGGGCCGTGCAGGGTCCCCATCATAGGGCTTAAAGTTCACTTTCGAGGCCGCACAGGGTCCCCTTGATCAGGCTTAAAGTTCACTTTAAGCCTGATCAAGGGGACCCTGTGTGAGCGGCCGGCGGCTCCCCCCCCCCCCCCCCCCCCGCCGCCCTGCCCCCCCCCGCGCGGGGGGGGGGGGGGGGGGGCCTCAGCCTGCAACTTCTCCTCTGGATCCCCGCTGCTCTCCCAGGCAGAGGCAGCGGGGGATACGAGGAGAAGTTAAGGAAGCACTTCTGCCGCAGGGGGAGCGGTGGAGGGAGCTGCTGTCACAGCAGCATGGTCGAGCACTGAGGAGAGAGAGAGCCACCGGCTGTCAGTTCCTAGCTGAGCAGCTCTTGCTCTCCTCAATGCTTGGCCATGCTGCTTCCTCCTCCACCGACCCGCCGCTGGCTGCAGCACTTCCTTCACTTCTCGGATCACCGCTGAATACAGATGTGGGAGAGCAGCGGGGATCCAGAGGAGAAGCCCCATGAAGGGAGGACAGGACATCGCGATCTACCAGTGTTCGCTTTGCGATCGACTGGTAGATCGCGATCAACCTAATGGGCACCCCTGGTCTAGGGTGTAAAATAAAGATATACTTAGCCGAACATCTGTCCCGCCTGGCTGTTAGACCAGTCCTTGCAGGCTCTTCCCCCTCAGCTCCAGCGGTCTATGGATCAGTGAGTCATCACGTCTAATACAGTTCATTAGAAATGAGGGCACTAAGGGACATTCCAATGCCAGGCTGGAGGGGGAGCAAGGACCAAGGTTCGGGTGAGTACTGTATATCTTTTTTTTTTTAATTTTACATCCTAGATCAAAAAACATAGTAGTTAACCCTTGCAGTGTGGGGGTAGCCCCACTACAAGTTTTATTCTGTTGGGAGTCATCTTTGCAGTTCAAGTGGAGAATAAAGTTTTTAAAGTGTGTTTTGATATTGTACAATTCAAGTTAAAATTACTGAATACAGTTTCATATATTTCTTTAAAGGATTTTATTACCTCTTGCTTTTTCTTGCAATGGGATCTTCCAAACCAGAGGCAGAAGCGATACAATAAGAGTTATAAGCTCTTCACGACAAGTCAGATCCTGTAATAACAATGAGAAACATTCACTAAAAACAGCAGATTAAAGAGGTTCTCCATCTTAAAAGCTGTTTAGGTTTAAACCAATACTTTAAAATATAAAAACTACAGTATAAAAGAGTTATAAAAAATATAAAGAAAATATTACATACTTGCAGTACTTGTTACACAGATCATTTTACTGCTATCACCACAGTAATGCACACACCTACATTAAAAAAAAGTGCAGCATCTGCTTTCACTTTTTTTTTAGCAGTCTCTATGAAGTCCTTTATTTACATTGGGAGATTGTTTTTGCAAAAAACATTTTTCTTACCTATGCACCTAAGGAAAATCGATATTTAATGAAAAACGTAACGAATGTGACATACATTACCAATTTCTATTACAGACACATCAGAAAACAATAAGACTAAATTTACTAATTTATCAATAAAAACATGTTTTACTTCTAGTGTATGTGTTTTCTCTATTTACAAATTACACCTTAACGTACACGGTATATTTCAATTTGCGATGAGATGCAATCTTGCTTATTTTATCCTTACACGCTATCTTAACTATTTCTGTTCACATAAAGCATGTATATGAAGGCCTTTCAATATTTATCCATCTACATATCTTCACAGTACCCATATCTTGTTTGAATGATTCTCCTGGGTAATTTCTCCTATTTTCCAATAATATCACTCTACCTCTCAGACCTTCCATCCCATTTCTTCCTATACTTCATAATCCTTCTCCACAAATCACCTTGACCACTTTGTGAATCCACAAAAATTAGTGAAACATGTAGAGTTTTGTGGTTTATGTAGGTTGTGGGCAGGGCCGGCCTTTGGGGTGTGCAAGCTGTACGGCCGCACAGGGCGCCAGGTGGCTGACACAGCTCGCTATAGGCTGCAGGCAGGGCCAGATTTCCCACTAGGCCACCATGGCCTCGGGGCGGCAGGGAGTAGAGGGATGACAGTCTGCATCTTCTCCCCAAATCCCTGCCGCTCTTCCCTGCCTGTATCAGAGGCAGAGGGGATCAGAGGAGAAGTGGGCCAATGAAGCCAGCAGAAGGCTTCTATCCATAACTGGTTGATCGGAAATATTTACTATTTCCGGTTTGTGAATGATTGTAATGAGCCTTTGTAATGAGTGGTCGCCATTCATTCAGTGCAGGGGCTGCTGAAAGAGATTGAGGACTATGTCTTAAATTTCTATTTCAAAAAGAAAATATCAGGGGAGGGGTCTGTTTTGACCCCTGATATTTTACCAAAGATCATACTTTTTAATCTGTTTTTAAAATTCAGAAGTTGCCAATTCAGATTATTGCTACACATATCCATCTCAAAAGAACTTTTCAAATTATTTTTTCTTTTGCACTCTGAAATATAAAAAAAAAAAATCTATTAAAAAAATTTAGTACTGCAGTACTTTGACATTTATTACATCATGCAACTCTGTACTGAAATTTAATTTTATACAATTTTTTGGGACAAATAGAGCTTTCTTTTTTATTTTTTACTATAAGGAAAAATTACTGAAAATTTTGTGGGAAAAAAGTATTTTTTTACATTATAAAAATTGGTTTCCTGGAGAACTGGGCTGACTTCTCAGTCGGCTACCGGCTCTTCAGCCGAGACAAGCTGCATCTTAATAATAAAGAGGGAAGGAATAAAAGGGTAAATAGTGGGCTCGCTCCAGTCACCAGTGCCAAAGCAGTAAATCCTATGGCCCAAGATAATATAATTAAGAACGGCCTACCAATATCAAGGCCAAAAAATAAATGTAGTGTGGAACAATGTGTTGTGATATATCTTAGTGGACTTTTTCAGACACACATAAATTTGCAATAGAGACGGAGATTTTGTTTGTTGATGGAGAGCTGGGTTCACACAATGGAAGGTGCCATCTAAACAGACCAAACTGGTTTTTCACAATGGTGGGGCTTGTCCTGTATTGTTTCCCATTATTCGTATCACAAAGGGATGGTGACATGGGTCAGTTTTGCGTAAACAGGCACACCTAGCCTGGTCAAGACTCAAATCGAATCTGGACTACTGATGGCAATTTATGATACAACGCTGCCACCTAGAGGTGGGAAAGTGAAATGCATGGTACTTAATTTTTCTAAAAGTGAAAGGGGCGGCGCTTCCAAGTGTGTGGCCAGTTTCTCTCAATAAAAAAGCCAGTAGCTGAAAAGGTTGGGAGCACTACACAAGACGAGGGCTTCACAGGAGGGAGACAGTACGAGGGGGCTTGACAAGACGAGAGGACTTGCTTCAAGACCAGGACATCACTTTAAGACGAGAAGCCATTTTCCTAGGCCAAGAAGTCCTGTCCATCACGGAATTTGTGGAGTCTGCAGCCGGAGCGAAGTAAATTTGTTCAGTGTTTACCCTCATAGAAAGCATTACCTGTACTAGAAAGGATAGTGTAGTGGGTGCATGTTATAGTTTGTTTGTAGCAGCCTGTATGTCTTGTTTATTTGTTGGCTTTTCCTGTAACCAAGTAAAGTACTTTTAAATGCTACTGGGTCAGTTTCCTTGGAGCTTTACTGCAAGAACAAACAAATTAAAGTTTTGCCAAGCTTTACAGCTGGGCTCATCCTTGAGATAAGCTTTACGTCTCTGGGATTTGTAGTCCAGAGCATTACAAAACAACAAGAAAGTAAACTTTTGTGCCAGAACAAAACAGGAATTAAATGTATGTACACCAACGCTAGAAGTCTAGCAAATAAATTAGAAAAGCTTGAACTTATGCTACTCGAAGAGGACTTCGATATAGTGGGAATAGCGGAAACCTGGCTGGACAGCGCACATGATTGGGCCACTAATATAGAGGGGTACAACCTGTTCAGGAGGGACAGAGGTGGGAGAAGGGGGGGTATAAAATAGTGGAGAGGACGTGGAATCCTTATGGCTGGAATTAGATATGACGGACGATAGTCGTAAACTAATTATGGGTATTAGTTATAAACCTCCAAATATAGGGGAGGAGGGGGAGGCTCATCTACAGTCCGAAATAGAAATAGCTGGGAGGCAGGGCAATGTAGTCGTGATGGGCGACTTCAATTACCCAGATATAAATTGGGTTAATGGTACCTCAGGTTCGACAAAGGGCCGTTTTCTGAAAATGTTGCGAGACAATTTCATGGACCAGATGGTGGAGGTTCCAACTAGGAAAAATGCCATCCTAGCTTTAATCATTACTAATAATGCAGAGTTAATTGAAGATATTGTAATTGGGGAGACACTGAGTAATAGTGATCACAATGCGATTACTTTCAACATTGGATTCAGAAAAGGGAAGTGGGTTGGACGTACAAGAACCCTAAATTTCAGTTGGGCTAACTTTGATAAACTGCGCACCCTAGTGGGGGATATCAAATGGAAAAACCTTTTCCACAACCTGAACTCAGACCAAATGTGGGACTGTTTTAAGAACACATTATATATTGCTATTGCCAAGTGCATACCGTTGGGTAATAAAAGTAAAAGATCGAAAACTAAGCCTATATGGCTAAATAAAACGGTAAAGCAACACATCAAGGACAAGAGAGCGGCATTTATAAAATATAAGATGGAGGGGGACAGCATTGGTGTTCAATAGCTAAAAAGAATGCAATTAAAAAATGCAAACTAGTAATCAGGGCAGCTAAAATAAAGTGCGAAAAGCATATTGCCACAGTAAGTAAAAAAAAAAATCTACCAATATATAAACAGTAAAAAAGGTGAGAAAGGAGCAGATAGGCCCAATAAAGGACGAAAAACAGGAAGTTACTCACAAATGACAAGGAGAGGGCCGAGGCGCTGAACACTTTTTTCTTCTCAGTATACACTCAGGAAAAAGACAGGTTTAGTTTACATGATAAAACACATAATTCAACAGAAAATATACCTCAGTGGTTGACGGAAACCGTGATACAGCAAAGACTAGAAAAAATTAATGCAAATAAAAGCAGATAACCTGCACCCCCCAAAGTACTTAACTACCTCCCGGCCGGCCGTTGTGTATACACGTCCGGCCGGTAGCTTCTTGGATGTAACTGGGCTTGTATACATGTACTGTTAGTCCCGCCCACTCGTGCGCGGCGCGAGGGAAAGACGCATAAATTAAAAACCGGCAGCGATGGCTGTTAACATACAAGCGATCCACCGGCTATAGAGCCGGCGGATCGCTTGTATGGGGTCCCGATATGTGTGCCCCCCGCAGCTCCCCCCCTCCCGCTGATCTCGGGCTCCACTGTGCCCGGTGCGAGCCCGGGACCAGCATAGTGGTTCTCTGAGAGGAGATTACAGGGAGGTCGGTTCACGATCTCCCTCCAGTCCCCTCTCGGCTGTCAGAATGCGGAAGTGGTGTAGATTACATCACTTCCGCATTCTCGTGTCACTCTCCAGCTTCAGATGCTGTAGAGACGCTGATGAAGCAGATCTCAGATGTCTCCATAAAGAGGACCTGTCACCTCTTTTGCCATCACATATAGGGGTTTCTTAGCCCCCTCTGTGAGAGCAATAAAGTGGGGGAAAAAAGAAATAGGAAAAAAAAATGTAAATGTAAAAAGTTACACATAAAAGAATTTAAAAATAAAACAAAAACAATTTTTAAGTCCCCACCCCTGAGTACTGGTACTTGCCGAGTACTTACAAGTAGGGATGCACCAATACAAGCATCGGTATTGGCGGCGATACAGAGTATTCGCATGAGTACTCGTGCAAATACTCAGATACAAAAAACGAGTACCTGTGCCGCGTCCGCCATCTTCAGGGACCCGAAACCGCCGCACACAGGACCTCCATCACGTCTTCAATGAAAGAAGATGGCCGCGAACTCCTCCTCCAAGTCCTCAGTCATCTGCTCCATTCTGACCTTTTCTCACGCTGATTGGCCGATTGGATGATTGACAGGCTTCCTCACCAGTCAGGAG